TCCCGACGGGCACATCCCGGTCCCAATAACCACATCCATAGGGACGGGATCGATCCCGACGGGCACATCCCGGTCCCAATAACCACATCCTGAGGGACGGGATCGATTCCAATGGGCACGGCTGAGGGGCGGGCTCAGGGATCGATCCCGACGGGCACGGCTGAGGGGCGGGCTCAGGGATCGATCCCGACGGGCACATCCCGGTCCCAATAACCACATCCATAGGGACGGGATCGATCCCGATGGGCACATCCCGGTCCCAACAGCCACATCCTGAGGGACGGGATCCATCCCGACGGCCACACCCTGAGGGGCGGGATCGGGATCGATCCCAACGGGCACATCCTGATCCCAACAACCGCATCCCGAGGGATGGGATCCGCCCCAACGGGCACATCCTGAGGGACAGGCGGGATCAGGGATCGATCCCATCCGCCACATCCTGAGGGACCGGAACAGGGAGACTCCACGACTCCTTGAGCAGCTGTTCAATGCTCTCCCACCCTCAATGTAAAGTTCTTTGGGGAATGATGGGACTTGGTCAAGTCTTCCTCAAAAACACGGGAAGGGAAAAGCAGGACAGCCTCCCTGTTTTGGGGTGAGCCCTTGTCCGTGCACTGTCAGCTCAGAAAGGATCTCTCTCGGTYAGAGCTTCCCAATTTCCCACAGCACCTCCCACTCCTGGGCCAGTTCTGCAAGTTTCTGCTTCCAATAKGGAATGAATAATTGTAAAAATGATGATGTCCCAAATTCCTGGTWAATTGGATTTTTTCACTATTTTTTCTAGGGAAAACAACCCCCAAGTTGCCAGGAAGACCAGACCTGCAGTGAAAACAGAGCTRCCTTCCTGGTGACCTTGTCTTTCCCCAGTTTGCATCATCTCCCTCATCCCAAGTGACTAAGAAGAATTCTAGGCAGATTTAGGAATTCCTGTGCCTGGTGTCCCCAGTTGCTTCCCAAACAGTTTTTTAATAAAGTTGTAATATGGAACTTAAAATAATTCTAGGGGGGGAAAGCCCAACAATTTGCTTTYATTCTATACTTTAGTGGTCTTTCCAAAGAGATTTTTCTGTCTCTCCTTGTTTTTTTGAGGAAAGTCAAACCCATTTGCAGGCAGAATGTGAGAGGCTGGCACTGTCAATAGTTCTGATGTCCCCTGTCTGTTCTCCCGTGCTGGAAACACACACAGAGCACAGCTGCTCTTGTGGAACGGATGGACTGGCTCAGGTTTTAGCTGATGGAAGCCTCACGATGCATTTTTAATTACTGGAGGCATGAGGTCACTGTTTACCAGCTTATTATGGACTCCCTTATTCATCCCAGAAATGGAARCAAGGCATTACTCATGTGAAGGGCTCTGGGAAAATTGGTGTTTGTAGTGAATCCTTACTTGGGATTATGGTACTCTTACCAATTCTTGAGAA